TTCCGGTTTTAAAACCGGTCATGTCGAACCCTAGTAAACACCTTTATACTTGTTAATAAGATTTAAAAAATTGTCTACGTTAAAATATTATCGAGTTATTCATCAGTTACTTAATTATTTTTTTGTCAAAACTTTTACTTTCGTTAAATAAAAATTATTGTCCTTTATTAGGTAACTCTAATCGCATTAATCTTTTTTGCGCAAAAAATAACGAGAAGGTAAAAATAGGTAAAAAGATCTTTTTTGTGATAAAATAACTTGCATTTATTTTCATAAAAATAAATTTTTATTTTTTAGTTACTTAAGCAGTAGGGAACGGATTTTTTACGTTTAAGACCTTAAACTGGATACCTAAATAGTTGGGTTTATTTTAGTTTATTGTAAAGCATCTAGCATTAGATGCCCCAAGACAATCCGACTCAAAACCGAAACGATAAACATTTCAAAAGAAAATTCAAAGAACATTTTTAAAACTTTGAAAGGTATATTTTTTAGGGAGTTATTCAACTCCCTATCCAAAAATAAAACACCACAACTATCACGTCCAAATAGTTAAATATTCCAATAATCTTAGATAAAATGTTTATTGCATTTTTATACATTAAGTAAACAACTCGAATAAATCCGCTACGATAAATAAACTAAGATGAGATTTTGAAGAAGGAACTTTCTTCGAAAAATTTTAAAAAACATAATGAAAATAAGAAACTTTTTGGACAAATTTAATGTGATGTTTTTTAAATTAAAAAAATTTTTTAAACAAATTTTTACACTTACTTAATATGTAAAAATATATTTATCATTTTATTTATACAATTTTTAAAACATTGATTGGTCTTCGTCGCAAGAAGTTGGATCGTATATTTTTGGATAGGGAGATTATCAAACTCCCTAAAGTTATACAGAACTTTTGGACAAATTTCTTTCTACTTCATCAAAAAAATATTTTTCTTTTAATTACTCACTTCATTAAAAAATTCATTAAATAACCTCTTAAACATTATTTTCTAATCAAAAATTTTTTTATTTATTTTATCTCCATTAAAAACAAATAGAAAAGTGTAAATTTTAATTTTAAAACAAAAACAATTGAAAATTAAATAAATCAAAAAAATCATTTTGTTTGTTCAAACAAACAAACAAAAAATTTAAAAATAATTATAAGACGTGTTTAATAAGAAATATTGGGACCAAATTATTTTTTAAAATTTAAAAAGACATTAAAAGAGTACATAAATATAAAAATATATACGTTGCGCAGCACCAAAACCGGTCTCCCTTTTCTCTCCTTTTCTTTTGTCAAAAAAAAGAAAATAAAAGGAGAGGGTTGCCTATAAGAAAAATTTTTTTCTTTTTTCGCTTTATTCGACAATACTTTGAAAAACAAAAGAAAGGAGAGATGGAACGAATAAAACGAACGATTTTTGCTGTTTGTAGCAAAATGATTTTTTGTTTTTGTTCCATACATATTTAGAGAGCTTTTTATTTTTTGGGGGGAGAAGAAAACCATGTAATGCTGGGCTTTTTATATTTTTTATTAAATCATTTATTTAGCTTTTCCTTATAAAAATAGTAAAAGGCTTTACTTTTTTGTTCAAAACATGTTAAAAATTTAACGTTATTAAGCATTGAAATACAATTATTTACATATTCATATTTCATTTGAATTGTAATTTTTTTAATTTTAGCTTTTTAAATTTTATTATCCGCTATTTTAATGGGTTGTCAGATAATCATTTGCGGGAGGTGAGGGTCCAAAACAATGCTCAACTCTAAAATTGGGTTGCCAACTTTCTTAATACCAAATCTGCCACTAAATTTTATCAAATGGGAATTCAAAAACTGCCAAGCAATAGGCAAGAAGTGATAGATAATAATGGACATTAAATTGTTTTTTGATTTCATTTCATTATTCAGTTATAGTAAATTGTATAATTTATGTGCAAAGGGCTCATTATTTATCTGACAACCCATTACTATTATCCAATAATTGTTTTAAATCGGTTGCTAAAAGGAAAATACTTCGTGACGTTTTCCTTAAAAAATTTTTATTTTTGATTTTGTCTCAAATCTCTTAAATTTCTTCTTGATCCACCCAAATCACATGATAAACTATTACCCAAAATGCATCACCTCTAGTTCCGGGGTTACAAAATGCGAATTCTAATTTTTAAACAAAATTTTCAGAGAAAACATTTACATAATATCCAAAAATACATTTAAGTTTATAATTTATTTGAAAACATTTTTAATTCCCTAAATTGTAGTTTTGTAACTTCCCTATTATATTTTTGTGAGGGAGCTTCAGCTCTCTAAATTTCTTTTAAGGAACACCTGCTAAATTATTTCCGTGGTTTTATAATTTAAGATCTCAAAATTAAAAGATTTTAAGGTTTCATTCTTTTATCTCTTCTACACTATATGTATAAATGGATTGCCCTTATTGGCTCTACTGAGTTTGTATCCCCGATCTCACTTTATTAATGCAATTAAAATAAAATTGGATTTTTCTTGGTGTTACAAAGTTGGGGTATGGTTGGGGGTGAGTACCATGTGGGAGTAGGTCCCGAACATTAATAAATGTTTCTCAACCATACCTCAACTTTGTAACACCAAGAAAAATCTAATTTTTTGATTAGACTCATAAACTACAGTAAAGCCAAATCCTTTTATTTTTGAACTTTGTCTCAATCTATTCTATTTCTTTTTAATCCACCCAAATCACAATAAACTATTACCCATGTTTTCTACTTTGAGCCAAAATGCAAATCGTCCAGTTCTGGGGCTTCAAAATGCGAATTCTAATTTTTAAACAAAATTATTTGTGAAAACATTTACATAATATCCATAAATCCAAATTCGTTTTAATTTATATTAAAACATTTTTAATTACTCTTATAAGTAGGGAACGGATTTATATGGATTTCCATATTTTTTTCCTGGACTAGTTGGGTTCTGAAACGTCCAAAAAACATAGTTTTAGCATATGTTGATAAGACCGATAACGAGTTATCAATCCATATATTCCATATTTTTCCATATTTTCACGTTCCGTCATTATTTTCCATATTTCGTCCATATTTTGTCATTTTTTGTAAAATTTTGCCGAAAATTGGTCAAAATTTGCAAATTTATGAAATTTTTTTGGCCAAAAAATTTTTTTATAAAAATTTTTTAGAAAATTTTTTTGAAAAATTCTTAGACAAAAATTTTTCAAAAAATTTTCGCCTCAAATATTATCAAAAGTATTTTTAGAAACAAAATAACTACTATAATTTGATTTATTAGCAATATTGTGTATCAAAATTAACTTAATTAACACTTTTCTGCTTAAAAATGGAAATTTTGCTTGAAAAATTGTTAGATTTCGGTCCATATTTGATCCATATTTTGGATTTTAGTCAATATTTCATTCCATATTTTAAGATTTTTAGTCCATATTATATGTCCATATTTTTCGATTAATAGTCCATATAAATCCGTTCCCTACTTATAAGTATGTCAGGCAATGACCATTTTATTTTTGTGAGGGAGCTTCAGCTCTCTAATTACTTTTAATGAAACACCAGCTAGATTATTACCGTCGCTTTTCCTAATTTAAGATCTTGAAATTAAATAATTTTACGGATTTCATTCTTTACAGTAGAGCCAAACTACAGTAGAGCCAAATCCTTTTATTCTTGAACTTTGTCTCAAACCATTAAATTTTTCTTTATCCACCCAAATCCTACAATAAACTTTTACCCATTTTTCCAGTTTGAGCCCAAATGCATCACCTCCAGTTCTGGGGCTACAAAATGCAAATTTTAATCTTTATGCTTTTGAGAAAAACATTAACTACATAATATCTAAAAATACAATTATTTTATTAATTTATTTGTAAACATTTTCAATTGCATGGATTTTGATATCTGACAGAGTCATTTATTTTTGTAAGGGAGCTTCAGCTCTCTAAATTTATTTTAAGGAACACCAGCTATATTATTTCCTTCGTTTTTCATAATTTCAGATCTTGAAATTAAAAGATTTTACGGATTTTCATTCTTTTTACTTGTCTACAGAATATTAATGAACATATACTCAGAATTTAAACTCCAAGAAATTTATGCGTGTTATCAAGCCTTATTTGTTAAACAAAATTTTGAGACACTGCTCTTCTCTGAATATTTTCGGTTTGTCCAGCACAGGGCTGCACGCAATTGCGGATTGCGACTGCGGAATTTTTTTCAATTGCGAGCAGCCCTGGTCTCAAATCACAGCGGGAACGACACTCCTACATTTACTATGACTGTATTTATTTAATTTATTCTACTATTAAATCATTTAGTTCTCATCATAAAATATTAGCTAATATTTAAGTTTTATAACATTCTTTAAATCTTTTAATTTTTCTTTAATACAAGCAAATTGACTGCAATCCACTACAAAACTTTTTTTGTTTCTTTTACGAAGGAACAAGCATATTTACATACACGCATTAATTTGCTACGCAACATAAATTATATATTATATAATTTGTTTTATACAAACATTTGGCGGTTAAAAAGAAATTATTATTCATGTTAGAACTCTTGTTTATTTAAATAAATCTAGTATATTTCATTTTTACCCTGCTAGATATCACGGTTCTATTTGATAAATTTTATAGGTTGTACCCATAATACTTGTAAAATTTATTTTTATTTTATACTTAATATTAGAAATCTTATCGTATACATATACATATGTATTTGTTAACTCTATGTTAATGGTGAAATAATTTCTTTTTTTTCCTCCTATTTTTGCAAGCTAAATACGCTTTAGCTAATTTTATTTCTTGGAAATATTTTTAATTTTAAGGCATCATAAGAAATTTAAAATTCCAGCTTGATTGTTTACAAATTAAATTGCTATTTTACAAAGCTTTTGAACCTTCCAATTCTTTATTTCCCTGTAATTATAGTAGTTATGGCTGCTTGTTACTCAAGGAATGTAGGGGATTGGGAGTGATTAAGACCGAACGCTTGGGGCTGGTGTGTCGGGTACGGGGTTTAATTTACAAAATTGGGCAGAAAAAGATGTTCCAAAAATAATACTTTTTCTGTCGAATTTTGTTATTTATTCAAAAATTAAGGAGGATTTGGCGGGATAAAGGGATATATGGAGGGATTAAGTGGGATTTGAAGGGATGAAAGTGTTATCTGTTGATATAAGGGGATGGGAGTGATTAAGGGGGCCTCTTCTAAACGATGTATTCTTATCTCAATTTTGAATATTTTTTGAATATTTATTTTTACGTTAATTAAATTTAGAAAAATTGTCTCTATAAATTACCTCTCATAATTTTATTTTTCAAAAATATTTTTTAATATTCCCACTACCTTTTCAAAATTTATATTTACATATCTAGTACATTATATATTTATTTTTATTTCTTTCTCGAATCTCTCTCCCCTCTAATGTCCACTCCTATTTTTTCAAAATTTCCATCCGCAAACTAAAAACGACCTTCGACCATTATTTATTCTCACCCACACATTTTCTTAATTTGTTTTCCTCCCGAATGGCCAACTGCAAAACATTTTTATTTTATACACACACATTTATTATGTCCAGACAATGTGATCGATTAAATAAAAAAAATTTTATAAAAAATTTTTTGTGGTCATTTTCTATGAAATATTCCATCAACTTGGCTAGGATTTTTTGGTTATAATGTCTTTAAGGCATAGAAAAGCACCTAAATGCCCCATAAAATTAGCGTCGGGAAATTAACGACCTACATCTGTTTACCAAATTTTTTCCCAAATATATGTAAGATTCAATTTATCTTATAGCAAATTTTAAGGGCTTTCGAATGAGCCCAAAATGAAAATTTAAAACCGACCATAAGGGGTCGAAAATATTTTTTAAATAGCCTTACACCCGAGTTACGTTGATTTCGAGGTATCTGGATCTCGACAGTGAAGTGAGATATGGGTCTAATTCTTTTTTATTTTTTCTTAGAATTGATAGACATGTTAGCTAAAATTTTTGTAGATTGTTCTTAACGTTAGAAACACGAAATTTCAAAGTGCGTCTATCATTTTCTGACACTTGTTTTTCAAAAAATTAAACATAAAAATTTTTAAAAAATAGTTAGGAAATTTTTCTTGGTTAAATTCATTCTAGCATTCAAAAAGATATAATAGGAAAAATTTATACAAAAATATCTACTATATTAAGCGAGATAATCGCAAAGATTTTTACTTGAAATTTTAATAAAATTTTCTATAAATTGATGTAAAACATTACATCCGGCTCCGGCGGAGCCGGAGCCGGAGCTAAGATTTTGGAAACCCCGGAGCCGGAGCTGGAGCCGGAGCCAAGAATTTGAAACCCCGGAGCCCGGAGCCGGAGCCGGAGCCAAGGTTTTTCAATTCCCCACGGCTCCGGCTATACACCCCTAAAGATGGGTTAGAGAAAAAGAGGTAAGCAAAGATGGTAGGCGTGAAAAGAAAGGAAGAGAAAATTGAGACGGGTAAAAACGATATTCTTTCCTTTTGTTTTCAAAGTGGTTGTGGTTGAATGGATAGTGAGTTAGGTTACCAGTTTTATCCGATTATAGGTTCGACAAATAACACAAAAATTATTAAATAAATGTTTTTCCTTGGAAAATAAATTATAATAAAGATTTTCTTATTAAATAAAGCTTGATAAATTTTTTAAATTGATTAATTTTGGTCTATTTTTTTCAAAATTTTCACCTGCGGCGCCAAAAAAGGAAGATTTTTGGCTTAAAACTCGTCCAAAATTTTAAAAATTTTCGCCTGCGGCGCAAAAAAGAAAGATTTTTGGCTTAAGGATTGTCCAAAAATTTCAAAATTTTCGCCTGCTGCGCAAAAAATGAAGATTTTTGGATCCAAATCTCCTTAATCCCCCCGATATAGCCCTTAATCCACCTAAATAACACGATAATCCACCCAATTTATTGATAACCCCTTAATCCTCTTATATCACTCGATATCCCCCTTTATATACCCAAATCACCCAATGAAAAATAATTCATTGATTTTCCACCCGGAGCCCGGAGCCAACATGGAGCGGCTCCGAAAATCGCCGGCTCCGGAGCCGGAGCTGGAGCCGGAGCCAAGATTTTAAAAGGCCGGAGCCCGGAGCCGGAGCAGGAGCCAAGATTTTGAAACCCCGGAGCCCGGAGCCGGAGCCAAGAATTTGAAACCCCGGAGCCCGGAGCCAGAGCCGGAGCCAACAAATGGCAAATACCCAGCACTGCTTATGTACAAAAAATAAGTGTGCATAAACATATGCACCGCAGTGTATTTTAAATTTTAGCCTTGGTTATTTCCAGACTTCCAAAAAATAAATGTCCTACATTCTCCTCCTGTAATACCATCTGTATTTTCAATGTTTATTTTAATTTTAAAATGAAATAGTTTATATGTTTCAGAAAATATATTCAAGCCCTTTTAAATAATCATTTATCTACTTTAGAAGAGGGAATTCATGAGAGCTCGTATTGTACTATAAAGTGTTCATGCTGTGGAAAAATTCATTGGATGGGAGATGGAATTGAACCATCATGGAAAGGGCCCAAACTGAAAGCACAACCGACTGTGCCACGATCCAACTCGATGCTGGGTTATTTTTATTCGCACCCAACCGTCGAATAACCGTTTTGCACTAGCTAAAGGAGAGAAATAGCTATAGCCCAGCTGCTTTACTCTTCAACAAAAATTTATTCAATCGGAAAACAGTTATCTCGTTAGAAATTATACTCGTTTATATAATACCGTTCCTTATTTTAATCAAACAAAACTCTTCGATATTCTCTTATTGCTTCCATCTTTAAAATCAGACATCTTTAAAAAATAATTTTAAAAGTAATCTTAATTTTCAAATTTAGCTCGGAAATTTTCCAGGCTCTCAAAATTTGAACCTCAATTTGAAAATGTTTTAATAAATTCAAGCCTTTCATTCTGCTTAATATTCAAATCTGTTTATTCTATACATTTATTTTACCAAAAATATGTTTTGTATTGACCTTAGGCTCGACAACTGCCTTGTATATTTTTGCAAGCTAAACAAGCTTTAGCTAATCTGTAAACATAAAACTTTTTCCAAAAATATTTTGCCTTATCAGTAGATCAAAAAACTCGAAATTTTTAAGTTTCAGTCTTTATATTAAGGTAAAATGACCTCTAATCTTTTAATGTTGGACTGTACTACATTTTTGAAATTTATTTTCAGTGCATCGAAACTAGGCAGCTTTGATCCAATCTCAATATATTTTCTATCATCCGAATACCTTTGATTTACTGTATTTTTTTTGTTATTGATGGATATAGTCTGATCACTCATTAAAAAGTTATTTATTTTTTCCTTTCTCATTTTAACATTAAATTTCCCCAAGAAAATTTTCCATTCTAGAAATATTCACATATAATTGTACTTTTTCTTAAAACAAAAAACTTCAAAAGATTTTTATTTTCCTCAAAAATATTTTTTAATATTCCTTGAGTTTTGAGAAAATTTCTGGATTGAATTGCAAGGTCACTCGCAACAACCACTTGTCACCCTTTTTCTTTTTCCTCATCTTTCGGCCCTCTAAAAGTGTATTTTATTTGTGTCTATCTACTATTTCTTCTCTCACACAAAAATTCTTTACAAACCTTCCAAGCACAAATGTCCTCCTAAAATTTTATTTTTATTTATTAGCCTTGGTCCATTTTCTCACATTTGTAGCCGGGCAAAACACTTTTCTTTGTTTTGTATAATTATTTAAAAATAAATCCATTTCCGATCCTTTAATTGTTTCACTGGAATAGTATGGTCGGATTTATTTCAAAAAACTGAAGTATAACGTACAGCCTGTATTAATTCCCCTCCATCAAATAATTACCCCACTTCCAGGGTAATTAAAGGATACCCCACCCCATCCAGCGATATATTGAAACAGTAATTACCATGGCTGGGCTTATTTCGCACGTTTGCGTTTCGCATCTTTCGCATTTTTCAGCGCAAAAAGTTTCGCATTTCGCTTTTTATTTTTTCATTACGCCCAGCCCTGGTAATTACCCACCAACAAATGCCCTAAAACACGTTCAAATTTCAAACATGTATAATTACCCTCTCTCGATTAATTACTCCCTCCATCAAAGGTCGAAAGAATAATAACCCAGGGTAGTTATTAAAGGATATCGGTATTTGGGTTAGGTGCATTCCAAATATCTGTTAAATCTCGTTCTAGTTGTATCTTGATAGTTTAATGGTATTAGCTAGAATTAGGACTCAACTAATGCATATATTTTTGGTTTAACTTTCTGTCGAATAGATTTTTGCCCTGAATTTTTTTGGCTTTTCGTACCTAGAAATTCTATCAATGTATGTACAACTTTTTAATACTTAATATTAGTTATTTAATTATAATATGTATATTTATTATCTCGAAATAATTTTGAGTCATCTTATTGACGTGTTGTTTGCTGAGTTTTATTTTTGTGAGCTAAAAATTTTTAGCTAAACTTCTGTTTTATTTCAATCATTCAATTTATTTTACTATTTTTATACGTTTAAGGGCATATTTTGTTTTTAAATGCCTAAAAATTTAATCCCTTTTTGTAACATTCCGGTAGGTATCTGGTCTTTATTGGTGTTTTTTATTTAAAATCATTTTCTAGATATTGGGATTTTGAGAATAAACGGAAGTATGTAACTTCAGATTCTGATCCGATCTATTCGTTCTTTGATAACAGAATAATGTTAGCCTATAATTTTGATACCTATTTTATCTAATACACTTGATTTCTAATACAATTTCGCTTACTTTAATTTCGGTTATTGTAAGTTAAAACCTATTTATCGAGCATAGCTGTTGAGAAATGAGAAAATCTTTGTAAATCGAAAGAAAAAACCTAAAATCGAAATTTTTAAGCAGCTCTGTTATTGATAATTATTATAGTTATTTATTCAAAATTATAAAAATCCAACGAAAGGGAGTCCACTTACATCGTTGGTTAATCTTTTTTCATTGGCCTGGTTGTTTAAATTTAATGGGGAAAAGTTGACAGATGTTCGCTTTGCCATTTAGGAAATAGTATAGTGGATTTTGTCAATTTTTGCCTGATTTTTTCAGACTTCCAAAAAATATTAACTGTTTGCTGCTACAAGTAAGTTAATGTAAGATAACTTGAGAATATATAAATATATAAATAACAATTTTTGTAATATTGTGTATTTCGTGCAATAAAGTTTTACTTAAACGTACTTGAAGCTGGAATATTTTGAAAAACCATTCAGCTCTCCTATAAATTTTTAAAAATTTTCTCATTCAATATTTCTTAATTTTCTTTCAAACAATTGTTTATTTAAAAAATATTTGGTGTTTTGTTCAATTAAACTGCAAAAAAATCTGCGCGCCAACCAAGACAATCTAAAACATTAAAACACCAAAAACGTATTTATTTATAATCTATTTTTTCATTTGGAGTTTTTTAAAAAATAATTTAAATAGAATTTTTAGTAACCAGTCAGTCACTAGCCACTCTCTCAAATTTATTTTTGACAATGGATTGGGGGCATACAAACACACAAAACGATATTTTCGGAGAGAGAAAGGCGTCTTTCTCTCTCTCTCTCTCGTTCAAAACCCTCCTCTAAACGGGCCTTCTTTTCATCTTCCAAATTCGTCAAACCACAAACCTAGAAAAAAATTCTTTC